GTAACATCTACTTCCAATATGTTCCAAGTATAAAACAAGGGACTATATAATAGTATAAATATCTGGAATTCCAGAACACTATCTAAAATACCTCTTGTAATACACAGAATGTTCTATTATACATAATAGTCTGTAAGTCAGGAAGGTGCATTTACAAGAACTACACTTGTGCTAAATGCAATTAGCGTGCACGTATTGTAAATTAAGCAAAACATTATTTAATTGATCGTGTACACTTATTGAAAAGATATGTGGCAAGTTGATCCTTTTATAACAAGAGGTTGAGGAGTTCCCTGTATAATATGACTATACATGCAAGGCATCAGTCATGAAAGGGTGTAGTAACAAAATAAACCACGCTTATCAATAAATCATTGTAGCCTTTATATATTAAGGGGAAATTCCACCTGTTTTCACTTGTTTTATGAATAAAGGATGTGTTTTATGTTTAATTTAGCAATGTCTCTGGCTTAAATAGTTTATATAGTGATATGCTGTTATTTTAAAGTGTATTTTTTTCTGATTTGATGAGTTCATAAAAAAGATCACAAAAAGATATTTCTGAGGCAAAGGGAGAAAATCTTTAGCAAGTGCTAGCAAGAGCAGTGCACCTTATAACTCAAAACCACAGAAACATTGAACACAAATGGGAGACCTGCTGAATTAACCTTTACAGTGCAGGATAAGAAAATATGGAGTACACATACATAAACATTTAATCAGACACATAGGTGTGCCCAAGAGATGTGCAATATGTAGCTGGGCACACCTTAGTGAATGACAGTTTGTCCCTGATTCAGCTCTCTTTTTGGTACCAAAATTCTGGCGAGCCAATCTGACATATGGCCGAAATTGAGGTGTTCCCCAAAAAATAATATTTTCAATATATAGCCAAAAATGGTTTGGCTGAACAAAATTTTCTCACCATGCATGAGTCTAAATTGCACTCAATACTTGAACAAAAATGTCTTTATTTGGGACATATTGGAAGTAGATGTTACTTGTAATAAAAGAGGTAAAATAAAAAAAGATTATTTTCTTTTTGCATTTTTTTTTTTTTTTTTTTACTAATTTTCCCAATACAGTCTCTATATAATTTATTAATCAATGTTAAACCGTAGCTGAGGATTGTCCTTTAAAGAACATTTATGTAGTTTACTGCATAGCACAAGCAAAAGCTAGGGTAAACTCATTACAATTTTATTTTGTTCTCTTCACAGAAAACATATCTTGTTTACCATGTTTTTATATATAATGATTAAATTGTGTGCTGTTTATTTTGCTGGAAAATATGTCAATGCTGCGGGAATGGTGAAAGAGTAAATGCTATGCACTGTTAAGCTTCTTTACAGATGACTGCGTGTATTATGCCTCTGTGACATCATCAATCATATTGCAGCTTTGCATCTCACACATGATATTTTTTTATTAACATAAAGGTTATCATATGGCAGTACTTTGTCTTTTCTTTTTGAGGCAAAATGTCTGCCACATAATGTACACAATTCGATGTATCTGTGTGTTCCCCTGACAGCAGAATATGTCCTTTGGCAATTAACAGTGTTGAAATCAGCCTCTGGTAGAAAACATGTCTTAGACCTGCTATAAAATGAGCTCCACAATTAGTTTATCTTCAGTCAATCCTGTCCTGCATGTAAGAGAATAGAACAACTATGTGGCAAGTTATTAAATAATATGTTATCTGCAGCACCTTAAAGGAACGCTCTGAGCACCTGGTTATATTTGTAGAATATTTAAGTTCATGGTAAAATAACTTAAAGGAACTTAACTCCTTCAGGTTCAGTAACATCATGATTGTCACTATAACAAAGGATTTTTATGATCCCACACCTAAAGGGGTTAGCATGCATGAGAAAAGTTGCACACACAAAAACATAGATAATTACTTGTATCTCTAGCTTCAAATCGCTCATTTCTCATTTCCCTAAGAAATGTTGCTGTCACAAAACGCCATCCCCTTTTTAAATGCGTATGCTGAATGCACAAGCACAATGCTCCCATGACTCAACTTTTGCCATTATTAAAATAGCTAAAAAAAAAATCACTCACAATAGTGAATTGAAGTGGTCACTGGCTTCAATTCACTAGTACAAATGTTATTTATTGAGTTATTCAATGAAAGAAAAGGCTAGCTTGCGAGTGTATTGCACATGCGCAACCTGCGGTAATGCTTTTCTGTACAGATTTCATGGTCATGTGCACATGCCCCCTAAATCCTCATATGATTGAACGAGAAAGTGAGGATTAAATAAAATATTTTTTAGCCTGCATGGTTTCTAAGAAAAAGGCAAGTCAAATCAAATTGCTTGTCAAAGGTGCAAGACAGGAGCATTTCTAGGTTTTATATATATATATATAAATAAATATAAATATATATATATAATGCCAAAATACCAGAGTATTGCAGTATGCAATAGACTAATACTAGTATCTACTGGACTAATACGGCTAATCCAATCTACACTATATATATATATATATATATATATATATATATAAATAATTGAGGATACATTCCCAATTAATCTACATCACGTACTAAATAATCAGCTCTATTCCCAACTCATGTTATCAACTGCCTGATGATAGCGTAGATGAGAGCAGCAAGATTTAGGCTCTGGCAGCACAGAAGACGTCTAACTCTATCCCTTCACTTTTGATTGCTAGAATTAGGTTTTATCACTCTCAGTACTTCCTCTCCTTAATGCTACTTGGAAAGCAGAGAAAAAGTCACAGGAGACTCTTCTTATTTGATAGTTTTTTCATAAAATAAAGGCAAATAAGGGATTAGTTAGACTTATGTATTTTCATCCACTTTAAAAATCTTGACAAAGAATTGAGCTTAAGGCAATATTTACTTCTTTTGTCAAGTCCTATTTTTACACAATTCTCACCTTGTCAGTGCTCAAGATGCTACCTAGTTCCTCTCCCAGCGTCGAACATGGTCAGTACAATTGCCTTTGCTTCTGGGTGTTGGGCATGCGTAGACATGCATGGTGGAGAAAGGGACAACCATGGCAGTGACTATACGTCACAGTAAGGTTCCAGAACATGGCAATGGACATGAAAAAGGTCCTTTGCTGCAACTGAAATTAAAACAAAGGGATGAAAAGAACAGAAATTTATTTGGGGACAAACAGAGTCAAGGGGGAATGAAAAAAAATAATGTTAGGCTATGTCAGGGCCACTTTAAAGAGAGAGCTGGTTACCAAAATTGTTTCAGCACACTCAGTCACAAATTAGAAGACTTGCTCATTATCTATCATGTACTCTTCTAACAGAGCTGAACTTCAACGTTATTATTCTCTGTAATCCACAAATGTATTAAATTGGTCTAACTGTATCAACTGGTCTTTAACTACAATATAAATTCTTCAATTACAATCTTTAATTCCCTCTTCAAATACACAAATGTTTAACCTATTCTGCTGCCTTTGGCTTAGTAGAACGTGAGTTTTACATTCACAAGTGTTACAATATACTGCATATGCATTACCTTTCACTCTTTTGTGTTCATCATCTAACTTACAAGAATTGTTTGACAGTTTTATTCACCAATCCATGAATTGTCACGAATAGACCGGGGAATTGCAAATTGGATGCAAGAATAGCAGAACTAGAATATTCACCAAGTCAGCTATAATTCTAGTTTAGCTATTTGGCCTAAATGTGTTATTCCCTGACAATTGCCATCTTAGTGAATAACCATGGAAGTATCATTTTTAAATTTCCTTGATTCCAGTTTTTGAGGATATTTCAAATTTTCCATTATTATTAGACCACTTCAATCAAAATACAAATACTTGATTGAGTCCTTGTTACCAACAACTGTAAATAGCTACTCTAATTAGCTACCCTATTTTGTAAACAATACCTCCTGTTATTTTAGGGTTCCTGACATCCTTTTTGTGTTTATGCACACAATTCTGAACCTATGCTATTAAAAACAATTTTAATCCCCATTAGACTCAGCCACTGTACAAGTTAGATCTCACTTATTTCAAGTGTGCATAACCACAGCTTATATCGATGTCACCAAAAATATATGTGAAGAAAAAAAGGGAATTGGGGGCACACCTCGAATTCAGCAATGTTCCGAGACCAAAATTTATACACAATAAAGATTAAGGAACAGCACACACAGGAAAATACAGTTTTAGCTTTGAACCAAAAATATATATGTGACTTGGTAGTGGTTAACAAACTATATCCCTGCTATAAAAATATAGCATAACTATAAATTAGTGTATGCTTTCTACATTTGCATTGAATTGTCAATGATCATGTGATTATCATTTATTTGCCTCCATCATTTCTTTTTTTAAATTATAAAAGAGAAATAATCTCCGTGTGTGAAATATAGATGCATAAACTCAAGGTAATAGCAATACATTAAACAGATTTGTATTGTAAAATGAATTTAGGTGGGTCAAGAATGTACAACTGCTGTGAGAATTAGTCTGTTCTGTGGTGTAGTACACAGATATTTCATACATTCATGAATACTGCATCAGTACCATAAAAGATGCTATATTAATAATAATAGAAAAAGATACAGGGAGGGAGAAATAAATGAAAAGAACTATTAATGAGATTCTAATAAAAAATAAGGAATGAAGGGAATTTAAAGAGATTTAGCTGCAGATTTTCAAAACATTAGTAATAACAAACATTTGCTGCTTCTCTTTTTTTTCCATGAGCTATGTTAAATTGCACTTAAAAACAAATAACAGCTGGTAGCTTTCTTGAAATTTATAGCAAGTTGCAAACTTAGAATAGATGGCACACAGCAAATCCCATGAAATCTAGCAGAATATAAAATAGAGCTGCTTATTGCACACTGCTCATGTGCGGAATGTCCCCTAGTGAGGAAGCGCTGTGCCTTAGTTGAATAAATTCATAAGGGAAGGAAATGTCTCTAATTGGTCCCTAACCATTTAGGGAACAAGATGATTTTCTTCAGGAGAATGACTTAAGGAAGACACATGTAATTATGATTTCCTCAATTTATCATGCAGTCAGATTAAGCAATGAAGATGAAAAAAATATACACACTCGGTTCTCCATCAGACATGTACAAATAAATGAGCAATATGTGTATTTAAGGGCTCGTGAACGTGTACATCCTGTTTATAGATTCCCAAAGCTTCTTAGAGATACAGACTTCTAAAGACTTGCGTTAAAAAGATAGACCTGCATTTTAATGCTGATCTCAACTTTCCACTAGGGACCACTAAAAAGTCTTTCAGCTGAAAAGGCTGGGATCAGCAAAACATGAAATCATTATGGTTGCAGACTTTCCAGTCCTACTTTGTATTACACACTTTAAAAAGACATTTGTTTAAGGATATGATAGTTTCATTCCGCCTGTAATGCATAACCATTCATTATGAAACAAGAGTTAGTCTCAAACAAAAGTCGTGGCATGAGAGGCATTAGAAGTACTTACTCAAACGGAATAATTAAATATGTTAAATGTAATTTATTCATAAATTTGTTTTGAAAAACAAAAATACATATAAATACATACACATATATATCACCTGCTATTTCAAAGTTCTTCTCAGTTTGGGAACCTTGACATTGTCACATCCCAGCCTGCATAGGGTTTGTAAGGAGTACATTTCTGGATAGCAGCTTCTGTTTCTGTATTTTCTGTTTTTCATATTAATTTAATCCTCTCCCATTAATTATATTTTGAAACCAAGGAGTTAGATTACATGCCAATTGTCACTTCCTACGATTCGTTATATTATGTTGTCTTTGCCCTTTATTTAACAAATATGTATTTGTAAAGTGTGAAAAGCAAAATGTCTAAATCATTCTTATAAGCTCTGTGCTTTGCACCTGGCGCTCTCCATAGAGGATGCGTACAGAGTAAAGGAGATATTAAGCAATGTTTCTGTTTCTTCTCCACATTTGCGATGTTTGCTTTGATTTCTCATTGTATGAACAGTATTGTGATGCTATTTGCTAAACCTGATATAAATTTAACAGAAAATAGAGCATGCCTTGAAAAAAAATATATAGACGTTTTAGGTGATTTTCAATGTGATATTAAATGGTGTAAAGTCCAAAAAAGTAGCCATTCCCACCTTAACTTTAAGTCTACCTATAACCCCATTTTAAAACCATGTAATATAAGAGACACATAACACTGAGTCTGTATTAAGGGAAATACTGTTAACACATTCTCGTATTAGTTATCAAAATGTATTATGTTCTCATTATATAGATTTAGAGAAACCTATTAATTAAATATGCAATATGTGGAAAAATAATGTGAACCAATTAAAATATTCAATATAAATTTCAAATCCTTTGATAAATTGCGACTTTTGTTTCAAATATAAAAAGAACCACATATAGGGCAGTTTTCCCTCCTAACTCCCACTGACAGCAGTGGGAGTTTATAGTAGAAAGCTGCCAGATCTGCTTTTCTTTACGTAGAAAGTATGGCCCCATGTGGCTGAAGATCTTCCTATTGTGTGTCATCTGTTAACACTTACATTAATGTCTCCCTTTGTCTATAAATTACACCAGCGATAACCCACATTCCAAGATGATATAATTTCTCTTCCAAGTCATGTTATGTGTGTCTTGTTATAAAAAGAACCAGCTGATAATATAATAATGTAAATTATGTTAGTCATGTAGTCCTTACAAATGTTTGATTTTAAAGTATGCACTATAACATTATTCTGTGATTTCAGTGTAGAAGTACAGATCATAGCTACCATGATTAACAACAGTTACCATTTAATTCTCAGTTCTAGTGATTATGTTTTCACTCTTGACCAGTTAAAGGGACAGGCTTAATGATGAAATGGGTTTATCCATATTTTACTTGCCCAACCTGCATTTAGAACATTGCCATAAAGGGACACTATGGTGTCCCTGTCCCCTTTAGTACTGCAATGTAAGTCATTGTAGTTTTAGGGAAACTGTAATTATTACATTGCAGGACTAAAACTGCCTCTTGTGGCTGTCAATCAGTATTGTATCAGTATATGTATTACTTAGCAAAGATAGAGTACAGTAGGACTTTACAGTGAAGAATACATTTGCCAAGCATACCAAGTTCAGCATTCCAAAACAGCTGCAATTGCTGAAAAATATGATATTCACTGATGATGGCCTCAATTTAATAAAAGAAAAACTTTTGAAATGATTTAGCTGCAACAATGTCCATAAAATAAAGGTGACTTCCGTAGAAAAAAATGGAAAGTTTTTCTAATAGTAGTGAATCATTTGGAAAGTGTATTGTATCAAGGCCTATATTCTTTGAAAACTACATTAGATTAGTATAATGTTACAAATGTTAACACGTTTGTTAAATCATAGATTTATCAAATGATGAAATGACAGATAAGCTGTAAATGATTTAATTAAGCCACTATGAGAATATATTAGGGATAGTGCTTGATATATAGATGTTCCATTAGGTAGAATGCCATTATAAAGAATACAGCCATGAATTCATTGATTACAGTTGTTCCATTTTCTAATAATATACACATTGTTTCATGATTTTTTGGAAACAGTAAAAAAGTTTAATAATATTTTATTTCATACAAAGCAGGATATATTCCAACTATTATAAGAGTCTTTCAGAATTTATAGGACATTAGGATAGGCAATGTGAACTAAAAAATGTCACTCTGTATTTTAGTCATATATCATTCTTTTACTTGATATTAAATTCAAGTAAAATATTACAACAGCTAAAATATTATAACAGGCAGAAATAATTGAAATATGTCACTACTTGAGCCACCTGTCTTTCAGTTACTTCCCTCTCTGACGTAGAGTTTTACCCCCAGAACGTAGAGAAAATAATGTATTTGCCTTAATGCAGCATTAAACAGACAGGTGTAGTGCTTGCTATTCAGTAGATAACGGATAACAGTAAATAACTGAAAGGACATGGAAGATAAAATACATTTTCAATGAATTGTGATAGTGTTTTTTTTTTACGAGCTTTCACCAATGCTGAAAATATAACTTTATGTTATTCATTCATATTTACCTTTTGATATAAGAATTTTTGATATGCCTATTGTTTTATTTGATATGCCTATTTATGTTATTTTGATATAATACTTTTGATATGGGGATATATATTTTGATAAGTATTTCAAGGTTTTTTTGGGATGTGTACCTGGGTGCTCATTTTAGGTGTAACACATCCTGTTTTTGGAATACACTTTGGTAGAGTAAGATTGGTGTATGTGTATAATGTGTTCTGTGTTTTATGTTTGTTTGTGCTTGATAAACGTCCTGTGGATAGGATCAAAATATCAGTGTTTCTGGGTTAAATTCAAATCTTTTTGTTTTTTGTCTGTATAAAAGTCCCTTGAGTGTCGATTAAGTTGTTCTAGATTGTATATTTTTGGCCAGGAGTTGTGCACCTTGGGCAAATAAAAACTGTGGTGCCAATTAAAAAATTTAAAAGGATACTACAGTTCCAGGAATACAAATCTATATTCCTGGCACTATCGCTCCCAGTGCCTCTCAACTCCCTTGCGACCACCCCAATAAAGTGTTAAAAATTTTTTTTATTTACTTACCTGATCCCAACGCCAATGTTCCTCGGCACTGGGTCGTGGCTCTTCCTCCATCCCGCAATGAGCAGGCTTTAACACGTATGTGTGGCAAATGCCGCAAGCTCTTTAGACCTCCCCATAGGAAAGCATTGAATCAATGCTTTCCTATTGGGAAAAATCTGACGCCGGAGGTCCTCATGCAGAGCGTAAGGAAGTCCAGTGTCAGATATTGGACCAAAGGTCTGTTTCAGACCAGGAAGCCCTCTAGTGTCTGTCTAGTAGACAGCCACTAGAGGCTGACAGTGCTGCAATGTAAGCAATGCAGTTTCTCTGGAAGTGCAATGTTTAACATTGCAGCACTGAAGGCAATAGGGACACTGCACCCAGACCACTTCAATGAGCCGAAGTGGTCTGGGTGCCTACAGTGTTCCTTTAATAAAATAAATCAATCCAAATCAATAAACAATACTTAAAATAATTATAAAGCATTTGTGATGTTTGCACTCCTGATTAGAACCTCCGATCCAGTACAAGCACTTTACTTAGTCTACCTCAATACAAAAAGAAAGCGGCCCGATCCTCCTTCTCCTACAGAGCACCGCAATTGTGGAACGACCTCCCGCACAATTTAAAATCTTCCCTAAGCCTAAAGTCATTTAAGAGATCCCTCTCTACATACCTCAAAACAGAATGCACGTGTCATGGTTGATTATATATTTCCTGCCTGTTCTATGTTAAATTTTGTATATATTGTGTATTAATATTGTTTTTGTATTTTGTTGTACCTAATGTAACAATGCAATGATTTGTGGACCCAGGACATACTTGAAAACGAGAGAAATCTCAATGTATCTTTCCTGGTAAAATATTTTATAAATAAATAAATAATAAATAAATAAATAACATCAATGCCCGCTGCTGGTCAGGCAGAAAATACAGAAAAAAATGAAAATGACCGCACTCCAAGGACTTCGTATGTGTAATAATAAAATATAACTTAATTTATGACATAAAAAAAATTGACGTTAGAGTCCCAGTACATGGCAATAAAACACACAAGTACACATAAAACATACTTATAGGACCTCAGATCGGTATTCCCACGTGCACCCTGAACGCTGACCACGGCCCTCTCTTACATGAAGTCGGTGAGTACTCATATGTTTAGCTATATAAGTATGTTTTATGTGTACTTGTGTGTTTTATTGCCATCCTGATGAAAGCCCATGTACTGTTGTTGAAATGTCAATATTTTGTAATGTCCTAAATTAAAAGCTATATTTTATTATTTATATATATATATGTATATATATATATATATGACATACGAGATCCAGCGCACTCGCTTATTCACTAAACAGCAATTTGAAGTTTTACAGAATGCATTAGTTATATTTAAAAACACCTCACCTAGGCAAAAAATAGGGCACTCGCCCATTCACTAAACAGCAAGCTTTACAGAATCTAAAAGTTTTATTTAAAAACACCTCAACTAGGCAAAAAGTAATGGGGGTTTAGTTACAGTATGCGCTGGATCTAGTATGTTGTATAACAGCCGCACCCTATAATGTACCCATGTTCAGGTGAGTGCAGCCTCTTGGTTTCATATATATATATATATATATATATATATATATATATATAT